TCGTGCGTCACAAGGCCTTACATTGAGATATGCCTGACGTATCAGGCTGAGAAGCAGCCCAAGCAACATTGACAGGGATTCATGCCATTGCATCTCCAAACCAAGCCCCGCAATTGGCCACTGAACCTGAGTGGTTGGATCCGAAACCTTGGCAATGCGGATCTAAAAGATGACCGACTGAGAAACCGACCATCATCAGGCAGCTGCAGCTCCGGCCTTTCCCCCAGCAAGGCTCATTTCCGCTCGCAGAATGTCAGGATGCGAAAGAAAGCGAGAGGAAAAAAGAGAAGAAGAAGGGAAGAAGAAGAAATAGAGGGGAGGTTTATACTCGCGCTAGTGAGACCCTTCCTTCCATTTTCGGACATCCTTCCTTCTGCTCCTGTCGACAACCTTACCGGTGCACCTTCCCCACTGCTTCCCTGCTCTTGCCATCTACCCGCTCTGGAAGGGACTCTCCCGTCCGGTCGTGCGGATAGAGGAGTGAGAGGATGCGATGCCGGTGAAGAATTGGGATTCATCTGCAACCATGACTCATCCAGGCTTCAAACGAGCCCATGCAGACAGGAAGACCTTGCGGCGCAACCATGTCCGCCACTCTAAGCCCCTCCCAGCTGGACACGTACCTCGAGTACATTGCGCTCCCGGCGACGTATCTAACCGCGGTGCCGTACGAGAATCTGTCGCTGCACTACTCTAAGCACGCGCGGAACTCGCTCGACGTCCAGGCTCTGTTCCGCAGGGCCTCAGAGCCAAGGGCTCCCACTCGTCCCTGACCTTGTCACCCCAAACATCGGCACCCGGGAGCTACGCCTCGTCTGCGAGGGCATCCCGCACCATCCAGCCATGAATTCTCTTGTATTCCCTGGAGCCGACTCGGCGGAAGCGCGCAACCGGCCGATGGAGGTGCTGGTACATGCACGCGCACATGGTTCGGCGGCGGGGTGGCGGGGGTGATGGCGATGGTCGTGTGGAAGTGGGGGGGAGATGAGACGAGATGGATCTTGGATGGGAGTCAGAGATCAGATGGACGAATCAACTGCGGGGAGATAAGCGATAAGATGAGTCAGGGCGTCAATGGCGGCTCGTGGGGCCCGCAAATCCGGGGAAACGTGGGGATGACTCAATCTGCCCTTCCATTGGTCGCGTATTTAGAATCTTCATGGACCGGAATCTTTTTTCCCACAGTCAATCATGGACGGCGATTCTTACGTGAAAACACCCGCCACCTCCTTCAACCGTCACAAGGAACGAGGTATTCCTCCTCCCGCATCATCTCACTCCCCCCGCTCACATCTTACCTAGGCACCTACGACGCCGAAACCGTCCACAACATTGTCAACACCACCAGCGTCTGCCATGTCTCCTTCATGCCCTCGCCCGACGACCCATTCCCCGCTATCCTTCCCATGATCGCCCAGATCGGCCACTTCCCCGACTCGCAAGACGACGCCCCGTCCTGCTACCTGCACGGCTACGTCTCCAGCCGCCTGATGAAGCTAGGCGCAGACGGCACATCCTCCAGCGGCGTCCCCGTCTGCGTCGCCGCCACCAAGGTCGACGGCTTCCTCCTGGCCTTGACGCCCTTCAACCACAGCTACAACTACCGCTCCGTCATGCTGCAGGGCACGGCTACTATCGTCGACGACGACGCCGAGAAGATGTGGGCCATGGAGCTCATCACCGACTCGGTCGTGCCCGGCCGCTGGGCCAACACGCGCGTCCCGCCCGACAAGCCGGAAATCACGTCGACGCGCGTCATGAAGGTGCGCATCGAGCGCGCCTCGGCCAAGATCCACACGGGGAATGCCAAGAGTGACCGGAAGGACTTGAAGAACGAGGAGGTGGTGAATGGCGTCTGGACTGGTGTTGTGCCTGTGTGGGAGACGTTTGGCACCCCGATTCCTAGCCCGGACAACCGCGTCAAGGACATCCCGGCGCACGTGGCGGATTTTGTTAAGAATGAGAACTTGAATGCTGAAGAGCTGGCGGTGGGGGCGGCGCGGGCGGAGGAATAGACTGCATTATGATGGTGTAGATTGTATATAAGGATTCTGGGTGAAGCGGGATAATGATAGGCATGGAGTGACGAACGTAGACAGAAAAGCTGCGCATCAGAAAAGCATTACTCGTACCCGCCGATCTCGCTTGCACCACGCTAAAAAAACCTTTCAAAGCCGTCCCCGTCGTCCGCTCTCTCGTTCGTTAAAAGCAAATCCATAACGCAACCACAACCGCAGCCATGGCCAACCTCCCCACCACGGCGCCCCCCGCGCCCACCAAACCCCTCCGCTACGCAGATGTCCGCCACACCCCGCATCCTCCCCGTACTACATTTAATTCTAACCCCCCGCCCAGGTCGCCGTCACAGCCACAGCCAACGACTTCGCCGGCATCTACCGCGGCAAGCAGTACCACGCGCCCGACTTCGCAGGCACGCTGGACCGCGCGCACGCCCTCGGCGTCGAGAAGGTCATGCTGACGGGCATGTCGCTGGCGGACGTGCCGGTCAACACGGGCATTGCTGCCGCCCGCCCGCCGGGGCAGTGCTTCCTCACCATCGGCGTGCACCCGTACCACGCGGGCGAGATGCAGGAGGGCGGCGCGGGGTACGTCGAGCGGCTGGCTGCAGCAGTGCGGGAGGCGCTGGCGGTGCGGCCGAGACTGCTTGCCGCGTTTGGGGAGCTGGGGCTCGACTACGACCGCTTGAACCATGCGGGGAAAGAGGCGCAGTTGGAGGCGTTCAAGACGCAGCTCGAGCTGTTTGTCAATGAGGGATGGGACCTGCCGCTGTTCCTGCACTGCCGGGCCGCGTACGACGATTTCGTCGAGGTGATGAAGCCGTACGTCGCCCGGCTCCCGCGGCGCGGCCTCGTGCACAGCTTCGTGGGCAGCGCGGCGCAGATGCAGGGGCTGCTAGACTTGGGCCTCGACGTCAGTGTCAACGGGTTCAGTTTCCGGGACGCCGAGAGCGTCGACATGGTACGCGCTGTGCCGCTGGACAGGCTGCAGCTGGAGACGGACGCGCCGTGGGGCGAGATCAAGCCGAGTGCAGACGTGGCGCGGTATTTGGTGCATGCGCCGTCGTTGCCAGCGAGTAGGAAGAGGGATAAGTGGGTTGAGGGGTGTATGGTCAAGGAGCGGAATGAGAGCTGCGCGATTTCGAGGGTTGCGTTTGTCGTGGCGGGGTTAAAGGGGATGGCGGTTGAGGAGGTGGCCGAGGCGGCGTGGAGGAATAGCGTGCGGATGTTCGGGATGGAGGGGAGTGAGGGTGAGTGAGGATGGGATGCAGTCATGTGGCCGGTGTAATAAAGTTCGGAGGGCATGAGTGACGAAGCCGGTATGTCTTCCTTTTCTGATACGTTCCATGCTCCTACGGCGCCGGACGGGATGCTACATTCTACATACCCTCAGGAGTGACATATTTAGCTACGAATGCAAATCCTAGGTCCGTGTAAGAAGTAATCCATAGGAGCGTTCTCGTATACTTATAAGATCTTGAACCAGCATCTCCTGTCCGACCCGCTACCATCCCTTCCAAGGCTGCCAAATCTCCCTCACCACATCCTTCTCATCCACGACAAAATACACAAAATGCGCCGCCGCCGCAATGCACGCATGCTGAACGTACAAAAACACCTTCTGCCCCACGGCAAAACTCTCCTCGGCCTTCATCTTCGCCCCCTCCACCGGCCGCAGGATCCCATGCTCCTGACTCACCTTCCCCACGATCCATTCCTCCGCCCCCTCCACCCGTCCATACCCCGGAATCGGCCCCGGCTCTCGGCCCAGTGCAATCACGCCCGCGTTCACCAGCGCTTCGTTCCGCTCCGGGTAGATGGAGCACACCTCGGCCAGAACGCGCACAGCCATGTCACCCGCCTCAATGCAGCCCGTACCCAGCTGCTGCAGGTCATTGGCAACGAAGTTCCCGGCGTGCAGCTCGAGGCGCAAATGAGGAGGGAGCTTCTGCTTCAGCTGCCCGACGACGTGCGCGGTGGGTGTCGCGCCGAAGGAGATGGTAATGGGTGTGTCGGACATGGACGCAGGCAGCTGTGCAGCGGCCGAAACTGCGGCATCGCACTCGGCGTGCAAGACCTCTGCAGCAGCAGCGACCGAACGCGCGTCGTACGAATGCCCGGCGTGGGCGTAGAAGCCGTCGATCGTGATGGCAGGGGAGGCAATGGCGCGGGCGATGAGGTCCGCCAATCGCGGCGAGGTCGGTGTGATGCCCGCGCGACGGTCCTCGGCTCCGATGTCGACTTTGATGAAGATGTGCCAAGGGTGGGCGACGGAGTTGGCGGCGGAGAAGGCTTCGACGGCGTCGATTTGCGTGATGTTATCGACCATGAGGAGAGTTTTGATCGTTTTGGAGATTTCTTGAAGAGCGGGGAGGGCTGAAGGACGGATGGGGACGCCGTAGAGGACCTAATGAGTGAGTTTGGTTCGAGATTTGTTTAGACTTGAAGGTAATGTCTGGATACTCACCTCTTCCAGGAGACCCTCTCTTGCCAATGGAAGCAAGCCCCGGATTTCTCTCAACGTCGATGCCACGCACCCTTTGGCGCCGCCAAGCATTAATCTGATGACTTCCTCGGACTGGAGGGTCAGCGTTGATGTGATATTTGAGTAGATGGGTCTTGTCAGACCTTCAGAGTCTTGACATGAGGACGAAATCCAATGCCCAACCTCCGCACATCATCGTGAAGTCTCTGGCAGTTTCGTTCCACGGTCGGTTTGCTGAGTACAAAGGCGGGAGTAGGGAGCTCTTCGGCCGGGCGGCCAATGTATTGCTGCAGTGATTCTGGAGAGACGTCGACCATTTTTATGTTGTTTTTGTTGACGTGAGACGAGCAGATTATATAGACAGCGCCGGTATCTTGAAGGCTTTGTAACACCTTCTGGTCACCGATATGGATACGAGTGACTCAAATATTGGTCCAACTGCCGTCCATGCAATCAGACGTCGTGCTGTGCCGTCTCGTATGGTGTCGTCTCGACCCACAAATATGACGTGTTTTCGGGTTAAATATCTGCCGTGACCTGACGCTAGAAAATTGAGCCGCGCGTGAGGTTCCGAGGCTTTGACATTGCCTTTCAACAACCAGACGGCACTGCAGCACTCTTTGCCTTGAGGCTGTATGATGCTGATGACAATTGCTTGGGGTAGGACGAGAGTTTGCACGAGGCGGATCTAGACGGAGGATGAGATTTGCTGTGAAAGAAGAAGTCAGCCTCCCATATTAATGAATCTCGGAATGATGCTTTCAGGTTTGCTCATAAGTAGGTTCAAAGTGGAGTTGTCCTTAATTTCTTGCCAGCCATCTGTACTCAGCCTTCGTACTGATGAAACCTCCAAACCGTGGTTATACTGTCCATTCTCTTTTCACGCCTCTTCAAATCTCCGTTTTCAACTCAACGTCCTGCGTATCTTCTCCACTGCATCTTTTCGGCGCGTCCTGCGTATTTTCGTTGCTGTTTCTGTCCGGAGAGCCCAGCGTCTTTCGGTGCATCTGCGTTGTGAATCCAGATGAGACGTTCATGCATCCACGACGCGTAAAATCGACTTCCCCTCGATAGGCATAGTCTTGCCGGTCTGGCTGTCGTTCGCTGTGTGGTCTGTCTCGCGTTGTCGACGCGACCGTCGGCACCACCTCGGTACGCGGTGCCTTGCTGCCTGGCCCTAACCGAATGGGTATAGCTCCCGCAATGCTGCCTAGGTGCTACTCCTAAATCCAATGTCTATAAAACGCAGTCCTACTCCTCCATCAACAAGTCCAAATTCATCCTCACAAATGTCTCAACACAAGCCTCTCTCCAGACCTGGCTATGGCCTCCCTCTCAACCACCTCGCCGACGAATATGACCAGACTCATGCCGTGTTGGGCTGGTACGACAAGGCCATTGTCGTTCGGGAAAAGATGATGCTGGACGCCATGAATCAGCTTACCGACAAACCAGAGTGGCGACGCAAGGTCTTTGATGAAACCATCGTCCTGCGCTGGTGGAGTGAAGTCGTCAACGACCAAGGACCGCAATATCGGAGAGAGCCTTTGAACGGGAAGCCACACGGGTTTACGAATGAGATGTTTGATTATGTACGTCATTGTTCCTTCTACTTTGACTATTCCCTACTTATGCATACATCAGTGCATCGACGAATTGCGAGCAAATGCCAAGATGTTCGAGAATACTGGCATGGTCATGGTGCTCGACGTCGGGGCCTCGGTCGTCAAGTCTGACTCTATCATCGACGAAGAATTGAGATTGGAGTTGATCAACGCAGCCAAACCCCTGGAAGAAGTCCCCGACAATTTCAAAGACTGGCATCCCGGCTCCGATGGAAAGGTTCTGGATCTTGTTCATCCTTCACTTTTCCCTCTAGTCTACGGACGCACGAAAATCCTCCCCCACAGAGAGATTGGATTAGACGACTGCCTCGTTGCCACCGGCTCCGGAGAAGTCATACCGCGGCCGAGTGACGACGAAACCGTTCGCGACAGCGTCTGGTATAATAGAAAAGCTCGTCTCTGGTCCAACAAATTCCAGTGGTTGCCTTGCGAAGTCAAGTTTGCCGGAGATGGTGTGAAGATTACGAGTTACATCAACAATCTCCACCCTGTTGAACATAAGAATCTCTATTCCGTCATTGAAAAGGTCATGGCCAAAGCCATTCCTCTCTGGAGCTGCACCATGGAGGGATTGGCTATTGAAGGTGACCCACGGATTGACAGGGTGGACGGGTTCAAGTATCCTGAGGACGGGGAACAAGATTTTCCAGGACATGCGGAACTGGACGACAACATGCCGGACGACAGGCACGAGGAAATAAATACCGTGGTCACGTCGCATGATTGGGAAGAGGATGAATACGACTACAACGGAGACAGGACTTCGGAAGATGAAGAAGAAGATCGGCTGCTGCATATGCCGCAACCTCATCCCTTCAAACCGGAGATAGCGAAAGAGTGGCCAGACGATGACCATTTACAAAAGGAATTTGCCAACGAGGGCTTCCAAGTCATTGTCAAACTGGCCAACATCGTGCTCACCCCCGAGAAACCCACGTACGACGGAGGCTCATGGCACGTTGAAGGACAACTGAACGAGAAGATTTGCGCGACGGCGCTGTACTATTATGACTGCGAGAACGTTACCGACAGCTATCTTGCGTTCCGACATCAAATAATCGAGGACGATCTCCGAGAGTTGCCGGGACAGGTGAGTTCCTTATTGACCTGATTGAGTGGCTCGACTGACAGTGCAGGGTGACTACGGTTGGGTCGAGTACCTCTACGGCATTCGACAAGATGCTCCCACAATGCAGGAGCGCGGTCGCATCTTGACCCGCCAAGGGCGCCTGCTTGCGTTTCCGAATGTCTTTCAGCACCGCGTGGCGCCGTTTTCCCTCGCCGACCGAACCAAACCGGGCCATCGCAAGATTTTGGCCTTGTTCCTCGTGGATCCCAACCACCGCATCATCTCGACGGCGAACGTGCCACCCCAACAGAGGCATTGGTGGGCTGACAGCCTGTACCGCAGTGGTGCGCTTTCGGCGCTTCCGGCGGAGCTTATTGAGGCTGTGGTTGATGCTGTTGATGAGCCGATGGGGATGGACAAGGCCAAGGAGTTGAGGGAGGAGTTGATGGAGGAGCGAAAGGGTATTCAGGGCGTGTTTCATAATGAGGTGATTTCGTTTAGTTTCTGTGAGCATTAGACATGAATCAGATGAAAGTATGTCGCGTCGCGTCGCTGACATCATCCCGCGCGGGCCGAAACCGGAGCCAAAAGTTGACGTGCATCACACTCGGCGAATCATCACCACCATGATCCGTCTCCCCTCGAAACGCTTCTTGTCAATCCGTCGCCCATCTCCGCCGTCTCCCCCGTTGATTCGCATCGAAAATGCCACCTTCTACCGCAATCATCCCGACTCTCACCCCGAAGGCGAAGCAAACCCCCCGATCTACCCTAATCTCAACTTCACCCTCCCCGCAACGTCGACCCGCAGCCAGCACTGGGCAATCCTAAGTCCGTCATCTGCCAATCGTACCGCCTTCCTCCAGGTCCTGCGCGGACACTATCTCAGCGTCCCTGCTTCCGCCCGCTCGTACCCCTACCTGCAGACCCGCGAGATTGCAAATAAAGATCCCCGCCTGCGTAACCCCACCAATGCCATCAAGTACGTCGGCATGGACGCCGAGCGCGGCGGCCTGTCCAGCGTCAGCACCAAAGGCGCCTACATGAGCGCACGTTACGAGAGCATGCGCGAGGTGACCGACTGGAGCGTGCGCGACTACCTCATGGGCAACACCGAGCTCAACGCCGACGAGACCTTGGCCGTCAAGCCGCCCGAGGAAATGGTCGAGCGAGTGATGAACGGTTTGAACCTGACCACCCTCCAGAACATGCCCGTCAGCCATCTCAGCAACGGCCAGACCCGGAGAGCCCGTATCGCCAAGGCCCTGCTCGACCGTCCGGAACTTTTGCTGCTGGACGGCCCGTTCATGGGCTTGGATCCGCACACGCTGCAGTACTTGTCCGGCCTTCTTCACCGGATAGCCGCGACGCGGGAGCCGCGGATGGTGCTGTCGCTGCGGCCGCAGGATGTCATTCCGGATTGGATCACGAACTTTGTCGTTGTCGGCGATCATCCAAAGGTCAGCGTGATTGGTGACCGTCAGGAGGTCTTTGAATTTCTGCGGATGCACCGTCCGATGGGGCAGAAGGGACCCAAGGTTGTAGATCCGCTCGACGACACGCGGGCGTTGTCTGAGATTGCGCAGAAGATGGCGGAAAAGGGAGATTTTGATGGACCCACTGTCACGCGTAAAGCCGCGAGAGATACCTTCACCGAGGAGATCCCTCTTGGTGACCCCGTCGTCCAGATGGGAGGCGTGCAGATCCGGTACAACGACAGTGCGACACCGGTGCTGGGCGACTGGGAAGGCGGGCTTCGGTGGGAGGTCAGGAAAGGACAGCGCTGGGGAGTTTTTGGGCCAAACGGTAGGCATGCACAAACTCTCGAAATCCCCGCTAACACGAGCAGGATCCGGCAAAACCACCCTCCTCGCCCTCATCACCTCCGATCATCCGCAGGCCTACTCCGCACCGGTCAAGCTCTTCGGGCGCTCCCGCCTCCCCACCCCCGGCTCCCCCGGCATCTCCATCTTCGAGGTGCAATCCAAGATGGGCCACTCCAGCCCCGAAGTGCATACCTACTTCCCCAAGCACCTGACGGTACGGCGCGCTCTGCAGTCGGCCTGGGCCGACACCCCCGTGACCAAGCCGCGGCTCGACGCCGCCGCCGAGCAAAAAGTCGACGCCTGTCTGCGCTGGTTCCGCGCGGAGCTGTGGCCCGAAGCCGAGGGCGACTCGCTCGACTGGGCCGACACGCAGCGCTTCCGCGACCTGGCCTTCAGTGCGCAGCGCCTAGCGCTCTTCCTGCGCGCCATCATCAAGTCGCCCGACCTCGTCATCCTCGACGAGGCCTTCTCCGGCATGGACGAGCCCGCGCGCGACAAGTGTCTGCGCTTCCTGCACCACGGCGACGGCGTCTACTTGCACGGTCTTACCCCCGACCAGGCCCTTATTGTTGTCGCGCACGACCACGCCGAGGTCCCGCACTGCGTCCGCGAGTTCATCACCCTGCCTGAGGCGGGCGCTGGCGTGGCGCCGCGCGTGGGTAGGCTGGATGGGCCGTTGGCTGCGGATAGGCGGCGCTGGAGCCAGGTCTGGGGGACTGAGGGTGTGTAGGTATGTAGATATTGAGATGTTTGGATGTTTGGATTGTATGCATTATTGCTTGCCCCTATGCGTCCGGGCTGTCCGTGTCCGTGTTTTCTTCCTTTGGCAGGCTGGTTTGCTGAATTACTGTAAACCTGTGGATCTTCATAGTTGTGTGAATAGTCAAGATACGTAGAGGGTTGAAAGGATCTTTGTTTCCTTATATCCCCTTTACAGTAAGTAAACAAATGTCTTTATGTCCGCTCGCTTGCTGCGTATTTCTTTTAGCTTTACTCTTGCTTGTACCCCCGTCCTGAATTACTCCTTGGTTCCTGAAGTATGCGTCGGCGGGCTATACGGAGGTCTGTAGAAGGAAGACGAAATACTGCTGGGTATGATGTGAGGTGATAGTGTATGGAGGATGAGATACTCGTAGGGCCCAACGAAAGACAATAATATGCGGGAGGCGGGGTGCTGTATAGCACGCCGAAAGGTAATAATGTAAGAGGGACGAGATACTGCGTAGCACGCCGAAAGATAATAATATAAGAGAGGCGGGATGCTGCGTAGCGTGCCGAAAGATAAAAATGTAAGGGGGGCGGGATGCTGTATCTTACCCCGCGCGTAAGTTTTTATAAGAGAGATAAGATACTATGCAGCACTATAAGTAATAAGTTAAGAAGAAGATAAGTTACTTTATAGTATGATGTAGGATAATATTTTATCGGGGACGGTATCCTGCGAAGAATGCTGTATGTAGATAAATATAAAGGGGACAAGGTACTATACGATGTGATATAAGAAAAATTAAGAAGGGGGACGAGACGCTGGAAGACTTTACGTAGGATGATAGTTGTAAGGGAGATGTAAGACTGTATAGCATGCCGTATGCGAATGTTTTCATGGTGAGCTGTAGATGCATCACTGTATATAAACTAAAATCTACTCTACTACCTAGCTACTCTTTACGTAGATATAAGCAGCTAGAACGCTGTGCGCTATGAATGCTATATACCTACGAACGTAGAACGCACGTATTCTTGTAAAAGTATCTAGAAGGGTATAAGTCAATATATATGCATGGAACGAGTGTAGCTTTTCAAGGTATATAAACAACAGTATACGAAGAACAAATCAACTTTGAAAAGTTGTGGAAAAAGAAAAGTAAAGGGCACGAGGGAATTCGAAGAGATACGAAGATGGAATGATAATTCTGCCTTGTTAAAGCCTGTACAATCCCTACACAAAAGAATAACGACATGTGTCATCTTCGCGAAGACTTTGATGCGTATTGTACAAGGACGCAGTTCCAAACAAAATAATAGAAGTATCTCGAATTACTGCATGGCAAGCAGCCAAGACTAAGCAAATCGCAAACTACCCTATGAAAGTCGCCAGCTGATAAAATCCTGCAAACTTTGAATATCAACTGGAGCCCACAGAACTACTCTCGTGCAGCTTCAGCCAAGGTAGGCCGAGGACCGTGTCAAACTATGCGAGTTGAGTAAGATAAAAGGTTATTGATTCAGTATGTCCGTTAATGTGAAGGAACCCTCGAGCCACATGTGTAATCTGACCGGACGAGGACTCGGTTCCATCAAGGACTTGAAGGGTCTTGGGATAAGCTAACGGGATAGCTTGAAATTTGTTTCGTTGCGCGTAATCGAGGTCCATAAAAGACTTTACTGAAGCACCAGTATCAAGTAGGCTAAGAGAAGGTATTCTATTTATCTGAGCTACCGGCCGAACAGTACATTAGAGAGCGAAATGTTCGGTGTCCGAATAGCAGGCTGAGCCTAAGAAACCGTAAACTGAAAAAGCAGAGAGTTCTAAGGAACTTTGACCATAGCGGCCCTGAGCGCGTCTCTATCTAGGGCCTAAGCATTTTCCGAACCACTAGCAGGGACTTGAGTCTCGCTAACAATAGCGGGGGTAGGGGTAGTAGGGGCCTCCTAGGTGCCTGCGGCGCGGAACGTGAGGGGTGTCACGGGTTTCTAGCGCGTTCCTTGCAGTTCTTACCAGCAAGCGCTAGCTGACGGTTTGTCTTTGTTTGTTGTTTGCTAATTGTTGTTTGTT